CTCCCCCCCCCCCCCAGCCTTTTAGCTTGCCAGGATCACAGGCATGTACAGGTCACCGCGTAACCAAACTGTGGGGACCCAACCCCTGCTCCTCTGCGTGGCTCCCCGCAGTGCAGAGCTGTGCTGCCCCGCCGGTCTTAACTGCTAGAGCACACACGCAGGCACCCAGTGGGGCATGGTCATGCCATGGTCCCTGCTCCTCCGTCTCCACCCTGCTGGGATTTGGGCACACGTGTTCCCATGCCAGAATGTTTCTCAAGCCACCGGGCTTGGGATTTGAACCACATGGTTGGCCACGTTGGATCCAGCTCCCAGAACTACTAAGCATGGGGCTAGCCCTATCCCCCAAATTTGTTTAACTCCCAAGAATACTTTTTTCTATCTCATGGAGCTACTTAGTGGAGCGTCCTTCAGGAAAATCTGGTGGTGATTAATAAGCACATGCTTTAGCATCAGGCCATTTTTTTCCTTTGTCATTTCTCTTTCCAAGAGATGTGGGCACAGGGGAGACAGCACTGGGGGCTGTCTGTCTGACTGTGGGCTCGCAGTGAGCGGCAAACACCTCTTTCCTCCTTGGTCCTGTGCCCCAGGCCTCAGTGAAGACAGCTGAGGTTCTTGGCAGGTAAATGACATGGCCCCGTCATAGTCCTCTCAGGAGTCTCGCTTCTGTGCATCGCAGTGGCACCAGCTTTGTGTTAGATACAGACCCTTAGTCGGGCCCCAGGGCAGGGTCCCCCGAAGTTCGCTGCCAGCACTCGCAGCCTCACCCAGTCACCCCGCTATGCCACACAGACGTCTGTTTGGGTCATGCGTGTGAAGGGCCCCCAAGTGTCGCTGTCAGGCAAGGGCTGGCGAAGCTGAGAACTACAATAGAGTGAACGCGGTGCCCACGCCGGCTGCTGTCCTGTTTGCTGATCCCCCTCTTGTTTGCCAGGCTGGAAGTGCACCTCGTGGGAGGCTTCAGTGATGACAGGCAGTTGTCACAAAAACTCACTCACCAACTTCTTAGTAAGTTTGCCGTCTTTTCTTCAGTTTGGATAAAAATGTGTAGCTGTTTCTGCCTGGGTTAAAATCTATGAGGGGCCCCCTGCTTGGAGCAGCGTGAAGACGGGGGACTGCTCAGCTCTGGAGCTGAGCTTGGGCTGAGGGGGGTGGGGACAAGACTGCCTTTTAACTAGCAACTGGCATGTTCCAGAACAGTGAGTGTTCTGAACGGTGTCAAAACAGAACCATCCTCCTGACAGAAATGTCCGTTTTTATCTGCAGGAAATGTAAACGCCTATGATGCAGTATCTTCCCTTTATTAAATTAGTAAATGTTTTCAAAAAAGGAAGAAACTGTCCCGTGTTAATTAACCGCCAGGCTGGCATCCCCGCAGTGCCGGGATATACTCTTGGTGTCAAGGCCCGAGTCCTAAAGGGTCCACATCCTCCGAGCCAGTGACTCCTCTTGTGGCAACCTGTTCAAGGGAAATGAGAAGGGTGCACAGGGCAGTGACCCGATCCGAGCCGTAGCTGGTGTTCAGCCAGAAGCAGCCTGCTGTTAGAAGGGTTTGCAGTCACAAGACGATTCTTAGATGTCGGAACTGTGTGCCTACAGATGTCAGGATGTCAGGTGTCTCCATGGTGTGAGTGGACGTCACACTGTGCACTCAGCTGTCCGTGGCAAACTGGGAGGAAATACACTGGACGGAGCAGTGCCGGGATCGGGGACATTAAGAACCTACTCCCCTGTATTCTCCAAATGGTTTATAGTGTTGTTTTTGTTTTGTAACTCAGATAGTCAGGATCAAACATTTCCTTATGGAATCAATGTTCCCTTAGACCCTGAGTGGAGAACAACACAGAAAGGCTCGGCCTGGTCTCTAGTTAGGGTTCCTGGGGTCTGGGCTTGGGGGTAACTGGGGGTGTGATCGGAGAGGGCCCCGTTGGCTTCCACCCCTGTCCCTGACTCTGAGGTTGGCACTAAGCAGAGGCACTTCCTTGATTCGTGTTCACATTCTCGTTGTAGGTGAATTTGACAGACAAGAGGAGGACATTCACTTAGTGACCCTGTGTGTGACAGGTGAGAGCTGCCGTGTTGCCCACAATGAGCTGTGGGCATCAGGGATGTCTTGCCTTCACCCATCCAGCAGGCCCCAGCTGGGGGCCACGTGTAGGAGACAGTGTGCCACTGCTTTGCTGACCGTGGCTTGGCCTTCCTGTCGCCGAGGTGGCCGTCCTGCCCAGCCCAAGTCAGGTGCTCATCCTCCATCAGGCGTACCAAGGTCTCCTTCCTTGGAACAGGCAGTCTCTGTCTCCCAGGAAGGAGGGCACTGGACCTCAAAGAGGAGCCACCACCCTGTGTGGAGAAGGCCAGAGGCCTGACTGCAAGGGCAGTGTGCTTGCTGCCCACCTGCCTGCCCAGGCTGAGCAGGAAACCAGGCCGCGGGCCCGCCCTTCTCTGGGATCTTTCCCCATTACGGCGAGGACTCCTTGCCTTTATCACACACAATGTAAACAGCTGTTTAGTGCTTCTCCAAAATTGTATTTTAATCTTTTTTTGCCTCTTAGAATTAAACGACCGGGAAGAAAACGAGAACCACTTTCCAATAATCTATGGCATAGGTGAGTCGTGCGCCTATCTGAGTGTCGATCTGGCTACATGCAAAGAGGGAGGCAGGTGCTGGGTAGAGGCTGACTCCACCAGCTTGTCATCCCTGCTCAGGATGTGATGTGGCAGCCTTGGCGCCAGTCCTAACCCCCGGGCACTGGGGCACCTGGGCAAGGAGCTTCTCTGACTTCCCTGCAAAACTGGGAATATCCACATCCCAAAACTGGGAAGAGGAAACAGCCAGGGCGTGCGAGGCACAGACCGTGCTCCCAGGACTGGGACCGGACAGTGCCTGTGGCCCCTGCTCTCCCCCAGGGGCCAGGGGCCTTTATCTAGCCAGTTCTGAGGAAGGAGCTGGGCATCTGGACCTTTATTTCCAAATTGCCAGAGGCATGTGCACTTGCCTGAGAGACAGGGAGAATGCACCCCTAATGAGGTGTGGTTACCTACAGTCCCTTCAGTTTGTCCATCCTGTTGAGATTCGGGGCACACGTGCCTAGCATGTGTCTCAAGCCTCTGGGGCCAGGATTTGAACTGTGGCTGACTGTGTAGATCCAGTTCCCCTAAGTAGGACACAGGTTCAGCTCTTTTTATTTATTTATTTTTTAAGTTTATCCATTTCTTCCCTGAGAGGCAGAGACAGGCACTCCCAAGTGTCCTCAGGCCACAGTCCACCCCCAGGCTTAGCCAGCCCAGATACGGGCACGCAAGTGCACACACGGTGAGCTTAGAGGTCCCGAAGTATGAACCCAGGGCCTCGTCCCAGGCGGGTCCATCTGAAGCTTTCTATACACTGGGAACCACAAAGATCCTAACAAAGTGAAATCTGAAACTCTCAGGCTAAAGAAAACTCAGAACCCCGTCCCTCCACGGCCAGCCCCTTGGACGTCGCACAGGGCTGGCTAAAAATGCTGGGGCGTCTGCCATCCCAGTCGTGGGGTGCAGCTGGCCGAGTGACGGCACGCGGATTCATGATCTTATTCTCTGTAACTCTCTGTATGTCTGAAATAGTATACTGTGAAAATTCAATAACCAGAACTACCAGACCTGGCTCCAGTCACAGGTCACCCTTCTACCCTCAGCCACATAGAAATGCGTTCGGTCTCCAGGTTGAGCAGAGGGTTTGGCCTAAAGCGACGGTGCGTGTCCACGTGTGCAGCCACTGGCGTAGCCTTACCGCGGTCTGCAGAGTCTGCTGAGGAGGCGTGTTCCCACTCACCCGAGTCATTTTCCCTGTGGCATGATGGCAGCCTTGTAAGGCTACACAAATGCTCTTTGGTCGTTCGTCCACTCAGTCACCCACTGTCCCTCACAGCTGTCGACATTAAAACCGCAGAGATTTACAGAGCCTCCTTTCAAGACCGAGGTCCAGAGGAGGAGCTGCGTGCTGCACGAGCCTTAGCAGGAGGACCAGTGAGTTTGAAACCATCTTTGTGTTAAGGGTAAAACAAAAAAGTCATCAAACACGAGGGCCTCAAGTGTTGTAGGTCTTAGAAATGAAACTTTCATGTCAGCTTCTTCAAAGCCATAGACATTCAGGGACCAGCACACACACTCTCACAGAAGAGAAGCCAGCATTTCTGTTTTAGAAGTCCAGAATTCTGGTTCTCTGCCTAAAGGCATGGGGGGAGGTCATGGGAACCCACAGCATCCGGACCCAGAGAGAACCACCCTCTTTCGCTTTGTCAGGACTGTCCATGCAGAGTTCCCACAGTGCTCTGGGCTGGAAGGGGCAGCAGGGGAAGCTTTTTTACACTTTGGGAACCAAACAAGGTTTTTTTGTTTTTGTTTTTGGTTTTTTTGAGAGGTTTTTCGCTATAGGGTGCGTGCGCTCGCCAGACAGAGACAGACAGAGAGACAGAAAGTGAGGAATCACCCCCCAGGGGGGATGGCCATGCCGCAATCCCTTCTCCTCCATTCTCCTCTCGGGATCTTGGGCACGCACGCACACGCGCCCGGCTGAGTTTTAAGCCACGGGGGCTGGGACGCGAACTGTGGGCGACTACGTGGGAGTCCAGCGACATAGCCATTACGCTAACTGCTGGTTCCCCAAACAAGGTTTTGATTGTGAACAAAGATCCTAACAACATCAAATGTGTAACTAAGTTGAGGAAAACCTAGAACTCTCCTCCTCCCTCCTGAGGCAGCCCCTAGGACTCCTTTCCACAGACGGTTCCTAGAGAGAGGTGAGCCAGGAGGGGAGAGAAGCTTCCCCTCTGCAGGCAGGATCGTGCGTTCTTGTGGACTAAGTCACTGAAAAGCAACGCGCTGGAGCAGCTGAACC